AAATAAACATTAGTATGCAAGAAACATACATAAACGAAAATAGATTTTCAGTAATTATAAAACGATACAAATAATTTACATTTTTAAAAATTTACACTAAATGGGTTAAAATAATAATTTAAAATAAGCATGATATGTTTAAAAATTAAATAAATTATTATTAAATGTTGGATTTCAACAGTTTTGCTAACATGTTTTTATAGCGTTTTAAATATATATTTTTTGTGCATGCTGTATGTTATAAATGCTCATACATTGTTCATCCAATGTGTTTACATGGTCTTAATACAGCAAGTAATAAAGCAAGCATTTAGTTTGGGCAAGCTTTTGCAGCTGGACATTGCTTTATAATTCCCTTGATGGGTGAACATTAGCCAGTGGGGGAGTGCCTTTTGTCTCTCCAGGTGTAAATTATTCATAACTGTTGTCACTCTCACGCACACAGTACTCTGACCCAAACACTGACTTTACAAAATGTAAATCATTGTAATGTTTTCTTTGAATGAGAGAACAGAATAATTTTCACATAATTGTGAAGTAAATATTGTAGCATACAAGACAAGTGTGTTTTCCCATTCAGTAAAAAGTTATTCAAAAATGATTCCTTGGATTTACTCAATTATTTTTATGTTGAGTGGTTGTAAACAATTTATTTGGGCTGAATTTAAACAAACAAATTAAGTTGAACATTATTACATTTAATTTGTTTGTTTAAATTCAACACACATTAATTTTTTGCAACGGTTCTGGATGCAGCACTTTTTTTAGTGTTCAGTGTGTTTTTTGGACCTTATTTCAGCTACATTTGGTCTCCAAAACCTACAAACCACACATAAAAAAACAAGCATGTACATCAACGTTTCTCACATTTTATTGTAGCATAGTTTGTGCTGAATACATATATTTGCCAATAATAATTAGCTGAAAAAAAGCACAAATGTCAGGGCATGTCAAAACATCTTATGGGCCCCAAAATCACCTAAGACCCCAGAGGGTAAAAGTAATTCACAATTTGGTTATAATACATAATAAAAAGAAAGAAAGAAAGAAAGAAAGAAAGATGAACATATTTTGTGGTCTAAAACATAAAAAAACAAAAACTTTAGCCTCCGTTCATTATAATTAAATGAGCAAGAACAGGAAGAGCATTCTTTTAACAGTCAAACACATAAATACCAAGAAAGTCACTCAGCTTGCTGTTTTTTTTTTTATTTTATTTTATTGTCCTTCTTAAACAAGTAAACAATTGAGAGATCGAGAAAGAAATGACGTGCTTGTGTACGTGTGTGTGTGTGGAGCAAATGAATGTGTTTGTGACATGAGGCAATCCCGAACTGGCGGTCAGACATTGGCCGTGTGTGAATCTGGAAGTTGACGCACTGTGGCTGGTCATAAATGGCATTGCGAACGCAGTGATTCAGTCTGTGACATCATCATCATCGCAGGCCTGGCGCAGTGCGTCCTCCACATTAGCATTAGCATGTGTCGTGTGCCCTCAGCTGACACAAACAACAACGGCCTGCTTGTTTTGTTTTTTCTTCAGCCACCCACATGAGTCATATATCAGTCAGATTGTGACACGCTGTCTCCAGTTTGTTTTCCTCTTTGTTCTTTTCAGTACCTGCTTACTTCGTTGAAATATTTTTTTACTACAAATCTGTTAAGTCAGCATCAGAATGTTGGATTTTTTTAATGTTTCAGTATTTACTAATAGAGTACATCAAAAAGAACACAAGTAATCTTGACAAACTATACATCAGTCTACATGGTGCTACTACCCTCAAGAACTACCAATATTTGGGTCCCTTTATGTGCAAGAAGGAGCACCAGGGCCTTTTTTTATCCCAGAAAACCATCATGCTTTCACATTGGCCCCAATATACTTACTCTTTTTCTATCATGGCTTTATTGAGCCTATTCTGTCCTTTGCTCTGGTGGCATGGTTTGGAAGTTAGCTTCTTGAAACAGCAATAGACAGAGCCAGGTTATTAAGTGGTCTAGCAGGTTGATTGGTGAACTACAGCTGAGTATTGAATTCCTAGTAGGCAGCTTTTAAGGATTGGGGCATTAGTAGTTGTAGCTCTCATCCTCTGTCATAGGAGTTTAACCTACTCCTTATGGGTTTTAGATGCTTTTTATTAGGACAAAACGTTACAGGATTTGCTTTGTCCCATCACCTATTGTCGCTCTTAATAAATTGTAATATTTTATGATGTACTTTTGTTTAATTGTTTGTATCAAATGCCAAACTTTGCTGCAAAAAGGATATACCTATGAGTACCAATAAAGTAAACTGAACTGAACTGAACCGAACTCAAGCAGCCATTGTAGCTAGTTGTTTTTTAATGGGAAGTTTCTAAAGAAAGTATTAGCTAAGTTTGTTTCTTAGATATGGAGTACATACTTATTATCGTAATAACAAGACACACACACACACATTCATTGCTGTACATCAGGGTTTATTTTGAGAGTCCTTAGAACAACATCCCATCGAACACATTTAGTCCACCAACACAATGGCGTTGAATTATGGATGGTTATTAGTTTGTTTGTCACCGTTTCGCCCGGAGACCTGTTGTTTACATTGAATGTTTCTTATGCACAAAACGAGAACTTTCTAGTAAAAAGTGAGATGATGTCATAGCTTTCAGTATTATAAAAAAAATAATAATAATAATGAGACCACGGACTGATGAAAAAGTCAGAGTTAAAGTTATTAAAATCTAAACAAAGCAATCGAGTGTTTTGGCATTCTCTGTATGCTGTTGGTCACTTTTAGCTAGTAACCTGCTTTCTAATTTGACTGATGGAGCATTTAGCCAATGGCTGCATGATTCTTTCGACATATGGTGGCGTTTATTCATTTATTGGACACATTGTTTCTACTATTATTCTTACTTTTTTTGTTTTGCTTGCCCTGCTTGAAGGATTAGCCTGAGTTCAGATGCTAGTCATGTTATGCTATAGTTAAAGCTGGTTTGGTGATTGTTGGTTTAGCAAAACTCGGTCCCACTTTATATTAAGTGTCGCTAGTGTAATACTGGTGTATTTCACATTACACACATGTAACAACACTGAATAGAATGTGTAAGTTCAAATGTCTTACAGGACATTAATCACACAATCTTTGCTAAACTAATTTGTGAATTACTGAGGTGATTCTGCATTTCTAAATACACTTACTGTATACTTTTTTGGCAGACGTTTGCTGCTGTTAAACAGTTGCACAAAGGCTTAGGTTTTATATATTACACAGTAATTTCTGACCATTTTACACTTTATATTGAGTGGACAGTTCCTGAGAATTTACCCTATAATTACAATGGTATCACAGATGAAACCCTCTAATGCAGCGTTAGTTCTGCCATTCTTCTAATATTATGAACTTCTTATTCTAATAGAAGTACATGGTATGCAAACAGGTGTGGAAGTGGTAAAACACTTGCAAGTACATATTGTTGCTACACAATGCACTTATGTAATTCTTGATCTTGTTGTGTTTTTGTGTTGTTACCACTGTCCTGTTACACATTTGAACTTACACAATCTATTGTGTTATTACATGTGTGTAGTTACACCAATATTACACAAGTAAATACTATGTACAAGTGTGTACATACACTGTAGTTACATACACATCTAGTTACAGGTACCCTGTACCTGTTCACAGGTATAAGCAGCACTTAATTTAAAGCAGGACCAAACTTAAGCTTTTGTGTATTCCTGTAAGCAAGGTTAGCTTAGCATCTGCTTAACCCGAAACTCTAAATTGATTAACCCTAAATATGTCTTCTCAAGATATGTTTATTCCAAAACTTGAGTTAACTGCAGAGTATGTTAACCATGAACTAGGACTACACTATATATCGTTTCAGCAACTACTGTATATCGCAATGTGTGAAAATGAAAGAGTCGCATTTGTAGAATCTGCGATGTCAAGGTGGGATTATAATTTACCAGGAACCACAGTTCAGAACATGTGATTTGTGGAATCACTGCACATATTAGCTGCAATATAATAGTTTGAAAGTTTTTTTATTTTTTTTTATTTGTATATGTGTTTTTAAAGTCCCTCACTGAGATTTCAAGCTAATTCAATCCATTCGGGCACAAGACATTTCAATTTTGCCGCTTTAACAAAGAATAATTGGGTTTAATTATTTATACACTGATGAAACACTGGTATTATACAATTGATCTGTTGAATACTGTTACCAAAAATCATATTTGTTTTATTTCATTGTTTGTTCTATTGTTTTCACCTGTGCTTTAATTTGTTTTATTTTCTATAATTTTGTATATTTTATGCAGACTCATTCCCCTACACACATCATCCTAGTCAATGTAAAATTATGAAATCTTTCCAAATAGAGTAATCTTGTGAAATTATATTCATGTTGCAATATATATTGCAGAAAAAGCTAAATACTGCAATGACGTCTTTGTTTACATGAACACAAAATACATTCTTTACAGAAGGTTAAATCAACAAGTCACTATGGAAAGGGATGCCAAATAGCACATATGGGTTTGTTGATGCGACATTGCATTTTCACTCACACATGACAAAATATAATTTTAGTAATTAGTATTTTTATCATAAAAAATGCAGTAAATGGTTTAAGATTAATTATAAAAGTTATTCTAATAATAATACTAATACTACAACGACTACTACTACTACTACAACTACTACTGCTACTACTAATAATAATCAAATAGAGACTCTAATAATAATAATAATAATAATAATAATAATAATAATAATTATTATTATTATTATTATTATTATTATAATAATTATTATTATTATTATTATTATTATTATTATACATTTAGATACATAGATGCATTTTTTAGTTTATATTTTGGCAATTTGAGTTTAAATTTCAGAACTCAGTGTAGAGCTGCATGATTCTGAATAAACTTTCTTATTTGATTGTAGAATGCAAGAATATGTAAAATGTCACTGAGCGTTTGGCATTTTTCCTGTGTTTCAGGTGATGTCATCACAAGACGCCACACAGTTGAAATGTCCAACCATCACAGAGACCTGTTGACTAAAGCTCTGTACGGGCGACTCTTCAGCTTATTGGTCAATAACATTAACTTTTACCTCCAAGGCCATGAAGAAACCACTGGGTAAGATGCATTTGAAAGTGTTAATTTAATTTAATTTAATTTAATTTAATTTAATTTAATTTAATTTAATTTAATTTAATTTAATTTAATTTAATTTAATTTAATTTAATTTAATTAATTTTATTTTATTTTATTTTATTTTATTTTATTTTATATAATTTAATTTAATTTTATTTATTATAATTTTTTTTACCATTTATTTATGTCTACCTTACTTTTACCTTATTCAAATTTAAGCATTGTTCACTCATTCTGAATTCTCAGTGTGATTTCAGTGTATGTAACACTTCACTGATCCTTGTTACAGCGCCTTACACTGGCACCCTTGTAAAATATTGGCATGAAAATAAATTATATTCTGATCTTTTGGTGAAAAATATTGCCAGCTCACTAATATTACTGAATATACAATGTACATATTAGTCTATAGACTATATATTTTTAAGTGAATCCAATTAAATTCACAAGTCACTTCAATTAACATCAATTAAACAGACCTAAAATGTTAAGATTTGCAAAACATACAAAAAAAGGTTGAAACCTCATTAACTTAATAAAAAAGTAACATAAAAACATAAGATATAATTATTTTGAACATATTTTGAACATCGTGTGTCACAACAGTACACGGCTATTATTGAAGATCGAAAAACACCCAAGAACACTCTGATAAACATCAGTCAAAACAAGAGACCACAGGGAAGTTTTTGAAATAGTTTGCATAGTGTATGTGAGATTTCCAGCCATGGCACAGAAGACAGTATGTGACGGGACCAGTCGTGCACGAGCAGGACGCACCCACTGTCTTTGCATTATGGGAAAGGTATCTTGTGGCTAAAACTGAAGATTCTGTGGAAGCCAAAGTATGTTTATTTTCACACATACACAAGCCACAATGACTCATTCTACTCCATTTCATAAACCATACTATCCTCCAAAAACAACACACTGAGCATAATCTGTGTTAAACACTTAAATGTGCACTCCGAGAAACAATTAGGATCTGGCATCTCCCTGCAGGATGTAAAAATACTTTGCGCATTAAGAACATTTGCTGTATAATGTTCATTTTTTCTTTATGGCCTTGAACATGTTTTTGGCAGCGTTTAGTTTTTTTTTTTTTTAATTAATCAATAAATAGATTAATTGTGTTGCTGTAATTCTCACAACAAATTTTAGTATCCTAACTTGTTTTAGAATTATGTTTTTATTTAGAGTGCTAAATTCATGTAGGATTTTAAGTTTCTGAATTTATTAAGTATTTTATAAATCTGAATTCATTTTTACATTTTTTGTCATTAACACAATATAGGTCACTTTGCAATTAAGACTTAAGTCATGATTTCATACACTTTATATCCAGTTTTAAATAATTTCTCTATAATTTTTATGTGGGTGTATTTACACAATGATTAAATGACAAAATGCAAGAAAAAAATATTCAAGTCTATTATAAAATACAAGTAATATAATTATAAAAATACAAGTCTAATATAAAATATAAATATCACAACTATTATAAAATACAAGTCTATAAAAAAATAAATAAATAAATATATATATATATATATATATATATATATATACACACACACATGTTGGTTACGGGGTCGGCTCTTTGGAACAAGTCCTCCATTTAGATTTGTCCATATGATAATGACTTTTTTACACATTCCGGCAGGCCTGTCATCTGGGTTTGTCACCCTCATACACTCATACACTAAGGACAATTTATCCTACCCAATTCACCTGTAGCATGTCTTTGGACTGTGGGAGAAACCGGAGCACCCGGAGGAAACCCACGCAAACGCAGGGAGAACATGCACACAGAAACGCCAACTGAGCCGAGGCTCGAACCAGCAACCTTCTTGCTGTGAGGCGACAGCACTACCTATATATATATATATATATATATATATATATATATATATATATATAGGCGAAGCAGTGGCGCAGTAGGTGGTGCTGCCGCCTCACACAAGAAGGTCGCTGGTTCGAGTCTCGGCTCAGTTGGCGTTTCTGTGTGAAGTTTGCATGTTCTCCCTGCGTTCGTGTGGGTTTCCTCCGGGTGCTCCGGTTTCCCCCACAGTCCAAAGACATGCGGTACAGGTGAATTGGGTAAGCTAAATTGTCCGTAGTGTAAGAGTGTGTGTGTGTGTGAATGTGTGTGTATGTTTCCCAGACATGGGTTGCGGCTGAAAGGGCATCAGCTGCGTAAAAACTTGCTGAATAAGTTGGCGCTTCATTCAAATATATATAGTTTGTTGTTGTTTTTGTTGTTGTTGCTGTAATTGTTGTGTTCAGGGCTCTTTTTTTAATCACCAGTCAATGTGGGTAGATTTCCAACATTACTAGCCCCCCGCCATTTTCACTAGCCACAATTTGTTGTTGGGGCAATTTATTTTATATATATAAATTGACTATATATATATATGTGTGTGTGTGTGTGTGTGTGTGTGTGTGTGTGTGTGTGTGTGTGTGTGTGTGTATAGTACATACACTTTTTATTGAAAAAATTGTTTAAAAAAAAATTACATTTAAAAAAATGATTCTCATTTATCTAAAACTAAACACAGTAGTCCAGATTAAAGGTCCCAGATCATCAGGTAGTTATAAAAAATGAAAAGTTAAGCTCCTATTAAAGCAATCTTATTGTTAAAGATGATGATTATTAACATATTAAAGTTAACTGAAAGCAAAAGAATGCAGCTGAAAAACCTTCTATGTGCGATGATCACGTGCACACGGTTGACATTAGGCCCAATAATAATCTGTTTAAAGAACTGTAAAAGCGAAAGCGGCAACAGCTGCTGCATACAAAATATCTGGAGATCTCTTGAATGCAGCAGGACTGTGGGTGCACAAGCACTGTTTTTTCCAATCTATTTCAGAAAGAAACGATCGCAGCAGTTGCGTTTTCAGGCACGGTTGTTTTGCGCAAGGAAACAGAAGCTTTTATGCAGTCGCGCGCATCACATCTGCTGTGCCTAGCTCACAACGTCAGTGAGTAAAGATTGCCTATTCCCCTGTTTCTCACTGTGCGGATGATCCTCTCATTCGGTATTCCCCTGCTTTCTTTTGCTCTTACAAACCGTTATCTATCATGCTCCTACTCCCAGTGAATGTAATTTAGAAATGCCCTTTATTTAATTTAATTTTATTTTTTTTATTTTTTTTTATTTATTTATTTATTTATTTATTTATTTATTTATTTATTTATTTATTTATTTATTTATTCATTTATTCATTCATTCGTTCATTCATCCATTCATTCACCAAGGTCAACCACTACAGTCATAAAGATTGACTTTTTCACAGCAGTTCTTAATTTTACACTCTGACTCTATGGATTGAACTTAGTATGTGTGCTAAATGAATAATTGCACATTTACACAATCTAAAATCTATTGTAATCTTTTTAGCATTGTAAAGAAATGTCGGCCCCTCTGTGCTTGTTCTGAAGTCTGATCAATAACTGGTGTAACGCAGGCCTGTGTTCCGCTCAGCCGTCCAGTCAACATTATTATAATGTTCACCGACAACCATATGAGAAGGTTGACTATTAGTTTAAGGTCAAATAATACAAATAAAACCCCTATATGAAGGTTAAAAATAAAATGTATAAATTCAAATGTTAAATGTTGTCCAACACCACAGTTGCAGCTCATTGGTCTCTGGGAAACAATGGTAACACTAGGTTGTTTTTTATGTTAGTTTATGTATTTTTAAGAGATGGGATGTTAATACAATCAATAAAATATAAATAAATAAATAAATAGTTGGTTATTTTGTCATGGTTCGATATGCATGTGTATTGTTCAGTATAAATAATAATAATAAACAAACACATATGTTGTCTCAATAAAAGTTAATTAAGTATTGGAGTTAGAATAAAAAATAATGTTATTGATGTGTAAATGTGTAAAGATGTGTAAATTTAGGTGAGTGTACACCTAAATTTGAGACATGGCTCACAGAGTTTTGTAATGTACTACACATGGAAAAGATTAGATATGAGATTGCAGGTAAACCAAAGAAAAAAAAAATAAAAATTGGAAGCCCTTTTTTGAATGTCTACAGACTGACCAATAAAAACTGAGTGTGGTGGATAATTTCATGAAACATAGCAATGTGTGCAAAATACGAATTTTTAATAATTAGGTATGTATAGGTATTCATATATCCAAAAACTTTTTTTATTTATCTCTTTTCCTTTTTCATTTTTTTCCTCTTCTCTTGTTATCTGTATTGATGTGTACTCTCATATGTATATATGCTCTATATGTCATGTACATATGCAGATATTTAACTGGACATGTGGGTATGTGTAGGTATAGATTTCTCATGGAGGAATATGATTAAGTATCTGTACAGTTGTGGATATGCATGTACATATGTATTTACATTTCAAATATCTTTATTTATTATTATGTGCTGGCATGGTAGGGATTTGGGGTTTGTTTTTTAAAATGTGAAAAACTTTAAATAAAATATTTATTAAAAAAAAGAATAAAAAAGACCAATAAAAGTATATAATACTAATAATAATAATAGTAATAGTAAAAAAGGATAAAGACAGAGAGCATTGGTAAGGGGTAAGAGGATTCAGCCTTTATCTCTCTTAAGGTGGTATGAGGACACGTACTGTGCTGCTATATGGAGACACATTTAATTTTCTCCCAAAATATGGAGTTTATCAGTACAAACCAAACTGACAATTTTGTGAATTGCTCCATCTCTAATATTTACTAACATGAACAAACGACGAACAATACATTTATTACAGTATTTCTTTAAAGTCTCTTAAACATTAGGTAATGAAAATAAAGTTGTCCATTGTTAGTTCATTTAATTTCTATATTTAATATAATATAATTCTAATGTTAATAAGCATGAAGTAGAGTTTAATAATGCATTAGTAAATGCTGTACAAGTACTGTATTGTTCAATATTAGTGTATACATTAGCTAATATTAACTAAAGAAATCTTATTGGAAAGTGCAACTCAAACACGTTGACAGTTTCCAGCAATGCCGTGTGCTTTAGCCCTAGACGTGATGTGAGAAATTTTGACAGAATTGCCCTGACATAACCTTTTTTTTTTTTCCCTTGGAAAACCTGCATGTTTTTTTTTTTTTTTTTTTGTATGTGACCTTTTAGCTGTTTCCCCCCTCTTTTTTCACCTGTAATAGAAATGTCTTTGACACTTTAGCCCAGGGCAAATTGTTGCCTTCAGATCACCAATCAAAGTTAATATGAATGTTACAGTCTTGAAATACAATCCTGTCTTTTTTTGTGACAGAGATCCTGCCCTTGAGATCAGCATCCTGGACATCTTTGGCTTTGAGGAATTCCAACGCAACGCTTATGAACAGGTAAAGGGGAGAGTGATGCGATGACAACAATGATCGCTACACTTTTAAAGAGATAGTTCAGACAAAAACTGTAAAACTGTCATCATTTACTTGTCACAAACCTGCTTGACTTCTGTTGAACCCAAAAGAAATTATTCTGAAGAAAGCTGGAAACCTGCAACCATTGACTTTCATAGTATTTCTTTTTCTTACTACCGAAGTCAATGATTACACATTTTCCGGTTTCTTAGGAATAACTGTGTTCAACAGAAGAAAGAATCTCATAAATGTTTGATAACCACTTGAGGGTGAGTAAATAGTCTGGAAATTTACATTTTTTGGGTAAACTGTCCCTTTAAGGAACAACACTGCAGGCAAAAACAGCTTTTTAATACACATTATTAAGCTTTTTCTTAGTCTAATTTATCCAACATTAATTTGTTTATTTTGTTGTTCAGTGCATTTACAGTGCATTAACGTTTTTACTGAGCAATTTTTTTATTTTTTATTTTATTTATTTATTTATTTTTACAGTTTGCCTGGTTATATACGAAATTTGAACGCTTTTCACATTTTGGGGTTACTCAAAAGAGGATGTCTATTTGTGTAACCTTAGAGGGCAGTAAATGGGAGAGTACAACATGATTTTTTTGTACAGTCCTATTTGCTGAAATAATTATAAAATAAAAAAAAAAAACTCTACAATGATGTTATAAAGACTTTCAGGAAAAGAAAAAAAGTGAGACTGATAACTGTAGCCAGAGGAGAACATACCCAGCAGCACACAACGTCATAAGACGTTAATATAGGTTAGTTTAGGTCATCAGTGTCTAAGAACAATGTGATTTTTACGTCCAATAACATTGATATTTGGTTGATTTTAGATTGTGTTGGAAAGTGACCAAAATCTAACGTCAAGCCAATATCTTAAACCAACGTCATATTGACATCAAATACTGACATTTATTCATTAAATATGGCAACCAAGATCCAAAGTCTGTTAGATGTCAAAGTGGTAACATTCACACAATGTCAACCTGTAACGTCATTAGACATTGATATTTGGTTGTTTTTGGTTGGAAAGGTAGAAAGTAACCAAAATGTCTGTCTGATGTTGGACATTGACGTTGAGTTCTGGTGTCAACCCGTTTTTCGTTAATGCAAATTTCTAATCAGCCAATCACATGGCAGCAACTCAATGCATGTAAGGCCTGTAGACATGGTCAAGACGATCTGCTACAGCTCAAACCGAGCATCAGGATGGGGAAGAAAGGTGGTTTAAGTGACTTTGAATGTGGCATGGTTGTTGGTGCCAGACGGCCTGGCCCAAGTTTTTCAGAAACTGCTGCTCTACTGGTATTTTCATGCACAACCATCTCTAGGGTTTACAGAGAATGGTCTGAAAAAAAGAAAAATAAAGAAAAGGAAATATCCAGTAAGTGGCAGTTCTGTGAGTGCAAATGCTTTGTTGATGACAGAGGTCAGAGGATGAATCAAATGGCCAGGCTGGTTCCAGCTGATAGAGGGCAACAGTAACTCAAATAACCACTCGTTATAACCGAGGTATGCAGAAGAGCATTTCTAAATGAAACACATTGTGAACCCTGAGGCGGATGGGCTACAGCAGCCGAAAACCACACCGGGTGCCACTCCTGTCAGCTAAGAACAGGAAACTAAGGCTACAATTCACACAGGCTCACCAAAACTGGACAATAGAAAGTTGGAAAAACGTTGCCTGGTCTGATGAGTCTCAAATTCTGCTGCAACTTTCAGATGGTAGGGCCAGAATTCGACATCAACAACATGAAAGCATGGATCTATCCTGCCTTGTATAAACAGTACATGCTGCTGCTGGTGGTGTAATGATGTGAGGGATATTTTCTTGCCACACTTTGTGCCCTTTAGTACTAATTGAGCATCGTGTCAATGTCACAGCCTACCTAAGTAATGTTGCTGACCATAACCATCCCTTTATGACCACAGTGTACCCATCCTCTCATGGCTACTTCCAGCAGAATAATGCACCATGTCATTAAAGCGTGAATCATCTCAGACTGCTTTCTTGAACTTGACAATGAGTTCACTGTGCTCAAATGGCCTCTGCAGTCACCAGATCTCAATCCAATAGAGTACCTTTGGGATGCGGTGAAACGACAGTTTCGCATCATGGATGTGCAGCTGTCAAATCTGCAGCAACTGTGTGATGCTATCATGTCAATATGGACCAAAATCTCTGAGGAATATTTCCAGCACCTTGTTGAAGGATTAAGGCAGTTCTGAAGGTAAAAAGGGGTCCAACCCGGTACTAGAGTGGTGTACCTAATAAAGTGTCCAGTGAGTGTATAAATGTAAATATATATATTCTTAAATCAAAATATAACTAACGTTTAAGTATTTAAGATGTTGATGACCATTAATTGCATCATAACAGTCTTGCAAAAAGGGTCCATAAATAAATAATACATATTTAAACATTACATTTTTGGAAAAACAGATGCACTATACAAAACACTAGCAGTTCTTAATGTAGTCAATACTCTACAATAAGTTTAATGATACAGTATTTATTCCTTTTGGCTTGTTTATTTGTTTTCACTATTCACCTAACTGATCGTGACCATTTGAAAGTGTCTCTCATTCCATTCTAAAGTCTGAGGCTAACATTTTAGCCACTGTTTTAAGTGCAGTGTGAGAGAAATAGCGAACACAAACTCTGTCTCCTCTACTTGCACTTTGCGCTGTTCAAAGCAAGATTTGATCTGGCATTGCTGGCATGGGAGGCGGGTGCACTAACAAGGACTCTAAAGGCTGTGGCCTCTAGAATGATTAGGCTTGCTTGCACATCTCCAGCCTGCTGGCATTACATCAGTGAGGACACGAGGCCTTCTAAACCCTGCTGGCTTGCACTACTTTTTGATGTGGAGCTGCCACTAAGCCACAGGCCGGCGGGAATCAAGACATTGTGCCCATGATCCCGTTTCCCGTAAAACACAAAGCACTGATCTTTCTGACAACATGTTCCTGCCTTGGGCTCTGACTTTTTTTTGTTTTAGACTTAATGCAAGACGGGATGTTCTCCTACCTTTTTATTCCCACCAGAAAGATATTTCTCTTTAGAAAGGTGTATTTTTTTGACTTTATAACTTCTCTACCACTTTATTTTAAGTTTTCTCTCTCTGTGAAGACAATCCCGGAATGCATTGTAGCACGCTTACAAATTTAGAGTGGCAGACAATGAAGCGCAGCAGAGACTATGCAGTTTTGTAAGCCTGCCCTGCTTTTTTTAACAAAAAAAGTGTAGTTTTTAATTTGGCTTTGTGATTGTTGTAGTTCTTTGACCAACAATTGATTTACAGTATGATTATTTTAAATTCTATCTGGGTCACACTTTATTTTGATGGTCCGTTTGTTAAATTTAAGTTAAATTGCATCTACATGCCATCTAATTCTTATTAGATTGTAAGTAAACTGTTAGGTTGGGGTTGAGGTTAGGGTAAGGGTAATGACATGTACTTGCAAAGTTTACTTATAGTCAGGTAAATGTCTGTTAAAGGAGCAGTATCAACAGACATTAAGCAGACAGTCTACTAATACTAAAAATGGACCATCAAAATAAAGTGTTACCTCTATCTGAAATGGTTCATGTTTCTTACAATCGCACTGTATAGCCATATGACTTTGGTTTCACCACCTCTAATCTTCTGACAACGCTTTCAGTTCGTATTTAGAACGTACACATTATCTAGCTTGATTTGCTACAGTAGAAAGTGAGCATAAACACATTGGGGCTATGAAAAAAGGCTGTCTGTGTAGTTCCGTGTGTGTATATAGGGATGAATTGATATGTAATATTTGATTGATACCAATAACCAATAACTCTTTAGCTTTGGAGACTTATAGTTGATATATAGGCCTATAAATAATATTTGTTTTCTAATATATTATTGCAAACACATAGTGAATAACTCTAAATCTAATTAACTTACTATTCATGTCTATGACCAGCTTTCTTTTATATAAAGAAAGTCTATTGCTTAAAAAAAAGAATATCTAAAATCAACAAAGTCACTGAATATTAACACTTGAGTGCTGTTGGGGAAGTTTTTTATCCTCATGATTATCCCACATAATCATGCATTCTTGATTGTTGCTGGTTTTGCCTGATGGGAAGAGGTAAAGAGAGGCCTCTTAAAGAAGCCTCTCATACGGACTTCATACGGACATAAAACTCTTGATGGTTCTGTGGGTCTCGTCTATCCGAACTGATCTTTAATTTGTATTTTCTGATGTAGAATGTATTTGATGTAGAATTTGTATTTTCTGATGTAGAATGGCCCAGCTAGTGGTGACTAGCTGGGCCATTCTACAGCTTGATTTATTTTTTCTGAAAGCACTTGCAAGTTTCCTTGGCTTTGCTGAAATGTCAACTCTGGTTTCATCTTCATCACTCTGCTATTGGACTAAAGCAGCTAATATTAATTCACAATGAAAAAGAGTGGAGGGTTGCTGAAGAACTAGTGAGAGATTGCAGCTGCTTTTCTCTTTTTGTTTTCTTTTTATATGTGTATTTCTTTGGTTTTATCAACATCTGGTGTAAATAGTCGCACCTTTAGAAATATGTTTTTTGCGAAAAATGGTGACACGTTGAATAGTTATTTCCCCCACTGTGCATATATATAAAACAGAAAACCAAACACAGAGAGTCTCAAAATATTTTTTTTTATGAGGAACTAGTTTCTTCTGCCCTTCATTCAGATCTGCAGCTGACGTCAGAACAGTTAAAACTGTTGCTACTTCACACAAGTCACTTTGAAGCTAGTATTTGAATGATTCTCTAGCATAATGTCTAAAGTGATGACAAAACAGGAGATTTTACTCATATTTTAAGATAATAAGGCTGATAATAATAAGATAATAATATATATATATCGATCAACCCTACTTCACACATAAAAAAAAAAAAAAGATTTCTTAGACCGCTGTCTATGTAATCAGTATTTTTGTGGACAACTTATTTAATA